CAGGAAGATGTCATTACTCTGTTGGACACAAGGTCAAATAGGCTTCAAAACAAGAGTCCTTTCTGGGCTCTTATTGGGTCACCATCTTCATCTTGTGTGTTTGCATGCTAAAATGGGCTAAATAGCGTTAAACACAAAGACACAGAGCTGCGGCTCCAAAATTGTCGATAGTTTGGCTGGTAACAAAGTCTTATGATCAATACTTTGGCTGTAAACCAAAGTATTGATCATAAGACTTTGCTTGATAGTTGTGCTGGATTAAAGACAGGGGCTCAATTTATTAATTAGTTCAAATGGGGACAAGAGAAGACTTTTATTTTTAATCCAAAAGTCTTTGATATATTTCAATCAGGACAAATAGACAGACATTTCTTCAGCTGCTTTAGGAGAAGGTTTTAAATGAAAATGCAAAACCCCCGACACAAAATAAAACGTCAATAACCAGTATCTGCAGGAATTCAAACTCTCTCACCAAACAGCGATGACCCACTTACTGCAGACCACTTCACTTATCTATCGTAGTCGACAGTCCGTTAAAGCGGGTGCCTTCAGTCGAATCCTCAAAACCAATTGGCTACTACATTTCTATCCAGATACACAGCAGATTCCAACTCCACCCTCCACTCTTAAACTTGCTCCAAACTTCTGCTGTAACATGCATGCGATCGTTCCTTTCTTACACAGCGTTACTCTTGCTGGTTTATTGTACTGGTTATCCAGATGTTAGCGCTTATTCCACTGCATCACTCGCTTTAATTTTGCTCACCGCAAATGCCAAATAATGAACATCTGTTGGCAGACTTGGCCCACATGGAACACAAACCACAGTCATTAAACTGGGTCGGAGCAGGACATTTACATGCTCTGATTTTCACTTTAATATTACATGCAATATGCATGAAAGCTAATGCCTGTAAGATACCAATAGATATTCAAACATTTATCCTCTTTATAATTCATTATTTTTCTACAGAACTCTGTGAGAGGATTTTGCATATCTTTAATGAGATACAGGAAAGATACAATGAAGACACGAGACGACTTTATTTCGACACTCTCATATTTGAATGTTTAATCTTCCAGGCACAAACTTCTGTGTTTTGTAATGTTGGAGAAAAATCGTGTGCTTTGCTCTGCTCTGTGGAGTGAGTCTCTCTCTTTGAAGGTGATGGAGGGGGACGACCCGCAGACATCAAAGTATCACCCACTGGGTGTGCCCTGCTTTCATGTGTTATCTATAGCAAGGATATTTGAGGATTTCAAGCTGTTTGGACATCTCAATTACTGACTTTTTTTTTCTAGTCGTGGAGAGTGCACTTTTATTTCAGACTTGTTTTATATTTAGTGCAGTTTTCCATCACACAGGTTATAGGCTATTTTTTGGTCAAATTCTCAGATTGTTGTTTTATAAGAGTCAAATACTGTCAAATGTGTGGCTGTCACTTATGAGAGATGTCATTATGCTGTCAACATGTTTTCCCTTAGGCTTCTTTTTGAATAATTGCATTGATAACATGCAATGTTTAATGGAAATACCTGATTCAAATGGCTGTCTTTGAAAAGTATCATTAGCCTGAATATATGTATAAGCATTTATAAGTCTGCCAACCTCTGCAGAAGTTTAACAGACTTAAAGGAGCAGTATGTAACTCTGACATGTAGTGTTTAAAATTGGTACTGCAGTCCAAATATCAAACATTGGAGAGAGCTGTCTCACCTCCCACCCTGAACACGGACAGCAAGGGCATGTGAAAAAACTACGGTTAATGCAAAAAGGCAAATGAACTCACAGATAATAAACATCATGCTGTAGTTTCCCTAACCTCCACAGAAGACCACAGCAACTTTTCTTCCATGTTTTGGTTCTTTGTAGCAATTAACTAGTTTACTATTTCGTCACTCACAATCTCCCTTAGTGGCTCTTTGGTTGGGGTCTGCTGCTGCTTTAAGCAACAACCAAAAAACTTGTTAAAAAAAACACTAAATACCCAAAAAGAACATGGTAACAGAAGTACAGACACTAGCCTGTGAATCTGCAGTGCAGGAGCTGGAGGAGGCCAAAACAGAGCTTAAAGCAAAGATGACATTAAATCACATTTATCATGTTGACAAAACAATTGCAACGTGAGTGCTAATATTGCTACATATTGGAAGGATGTGCAAATAGGAAATTGTCTGCTCACAGATTTGAGTTTACAGCTGAGTTCCTCTTTTAGCGATTGTAGTGCTGTAAATGGAATCTTTGCTTGTACAAAGTTTAAGGAGTAAATATGTTTTTCCAGTGGCTATGTCACAGTACTGTATAAATGTGCTTCATAACCAATGTTAAAAAACAACTTTGAGTTGGATCCAAAGGGGAGAAGTTCATCCTTTTTGTGTCCACTCAGACTTTTTTTTCAGACTATTTTATTTTAACTTTGTTTAATCTCTTAAGGTGAGGTTTTGAGATAAGCCCTCATGGGTTTTTTCCTCACCTGCACATGTGTTTTATTTTTTATTTATTTTTATTTTCTGTTTGATTCTTCTTTCAAAAAATGTGCAAATAAACTAAACTAAACTAAACTAAACTAAACTAAACTAAACTAAACTAAACTTTATTATATGATTGATGAAAATACAGAAGCATTGTAGAGGACGCTGTGTGTAACCTCTGGGTGGTGCAAACATTAATATCAATGAAAGCTACCTGCATGAATCTGTTAACAAGGCTAGGCTACTTAATCATCTCTGCTGCTAACACACCCTCAGCCTGCACCCGCACCTTAACAGTGGACAATGGCTGGGGTGATGTGTGACAGCATTCACCAAACAGACCAGACATCAAACAAAAACAAAAATCAAACAAAGTCATTATATTATTCCTGACAGGTTGCTGCAGGCTTGTCCACTTAGGTACCATGATGTGTGTGTGTGTGTGTGTGTGTGTGTGTGTGTGTGTGTGTGTGTGTGCATGAGCATTTTGCTAAATTTGTGTCTGCTTGCTTAAGATATTATATTCACAAAACACGTATAGGAGTGCAGCACAAGCGTTTATTGTCAAACAAGGTCCCTAAGGAAGAGGCTGCTAGGGTCCAGATGAAGCGCTTCAAATATATATAAAAAAAAAATCAAATAATTTTCAGTTTGTAGAAAATAATCCAATAAATCATCTAC